TCTTCATTGAATGGGGCAAGTAAAAACAAGTTATCAGCAACAGAGATCTTCCTGAATTCAATCCCATCCAGATGAGGCCGTTCCCACCTTTCTTCTGCGAACAGGTTTTCAAAGTAGTTTGCAACACCTTCCTTAATTTCATTGACCTGTTCCATGTATTTGTCTCCCACTTGCAAGCCAACAATTTCATTTTGTCTCCTTCTGCCCTTAACACATCTGTGGAAGAATTTTGTGTTGGCGTCCCCGTCTTTGATCTATGCCTTCCTGGCTTTTTGACACCACATGCCCTCTTTTATTTTTTGTTGTTTCCATAATTCCAAAAAGCAATCCCTCCTTTTTTGTACATCCTCTTCAGACAAGGGGTTCGCTTCACCTTTTAGATCAATAGCGGCTATAGAGTCTTCGCATTTTTTGATGATTGAGTCTGTCTCTGAAACCATGTTACTACTCCATAGTTTCAGGGCTTTCTTCAATTCCTTAAGCTTTTCTTTTAGTTTGTATCCATGCCACCCTGAGATTGATGTTGAGCTCCACACATCTCTCACTAGATCCATACACCTAGGTGACTCAAGCCACACATCATAAAAAGGGAAAGGTTTGGGACCCTAAACGAAAAGGTTTAAGTTTTATATTAAATTTAAGTAATAATTTTTATCTAATTTAACATTGCATTGCAAATTGACTTTACAATTAATTAAAAGTTTTTGGGGGTGTATGTAGAGTGAATAAGATATCAAGTCCAATTTGAAAGCCATATATATGATATGGATATGCAGCCAGACCAGAAGGTGAGGGTCAAGGGAAGGCAATCATTAAACATTAATGGAATGAGTCAATAACACTGAGAATTGATTGGTGCAAGCAAGAAGAGTCCGTGGCTGCAATTGCAAACTGCGTTCTTAAGGTTGGAATGGGTCTTGTCTATGCAGCTTCACCCAGTGGCAGCTCCGTACCGTCACGGGGGCCTTGTTTCTATTTGGAGACTTCATCCACAGCGTCTTGGTTTCAGTAAGAGATAAGAAGCACTACAAGAAAACCTAGCTTCACCGACCCATTATCACCGAGGTAAGAAGGTTTCTCGATGAAGCATCAATTTACCGACAAGAATCAAGTCTGCAACTTTCGAAACAGTCAAAACGCGAGTAAGATATATTATTTAGTGTACCGACGTAACACTTGTCGGTAATTCAAGAGAATTCATACGTGTCACACGTCGGTAAATGCAGCATCTACTCCGACCGGTGAGAGGATGACGGAAAGCCATATCACCGACGAGAAGAACGCCTGTAAATTTAAATTTGGAATGAAACTCTGGTTGGTAATTGAGGTTCAATTTCCAACGTTCACCTTCTCGGTAATTTGCATCCCAATGCACCCCCCGCCAACCAGCTAGCCGCCTGCGGCAGGGAGTGCAGCTTTTTGCTGCAATTTGCCGACCCAAGCCTTGTCGGTAATTTGGCATTCAGCAACTCCCCGCGAATCCGGCTGCAGGCCGGTGGCGTTGCAGCTTTTATGTCATTACCGATGAGATACAGGTCGGTAAGACGTCCATTGCCAACTTGATGCTCGTCGGTGAATGGCCCGGTCAACGAGAATCTTGAGGCAATGCAGTAGTGATCAGCTTTAGACTATAGCAATGTGGGTTTCGTCGGTGAATTTGCCTATACCCTGCGACCCGCCCTTCTGCCTTCATTTTGGTCTTTCTCCTTCCATTTTCATTTCCCTCTTGTCCCGCGAGTTGTCCTTGCTCCCTTTCCTCCATCCTTTCCTTTGAAGCACTTTAACACATTTTTCTTCTTGCAATCTAGTGGATCAAGCAGTGGTAAGTAAAGTTTAAGTAGTATTATTATTTTTTATATATTTTATGTATATTTTATTTTTTTTTGAAATTTAAATTATTAAATATTGTTATTAAGTAGTTCATTAGATATTAGTTAATATTATTAGATTTTCTTTAAGATAAAGTTGATAAATAGTTATGAATAATGTTTTTATAAATTTTTAGTGAAATTTCAACCATTAATAACAAATTTTTTATATTAAGTATTTGATATTAGCTAGCATTTTTAGATTTGTTATTTTGATCATATTTTAAGGTGAATATATATGATTGTTGTGAGTTTTGAAGGTTTTATATGGGTAAATTTTCATGTCTTACCATTTTCTGCACTTCATATCTTTTAACTAACTATAAAACATTGTATTTTTCATAGTTAAAGATTAAATAATATATTAAAAAAGTTGAGGGACGAAAAGTATGTAAACTTTAAAGTTGAAGGACCT